ATATTGTCCGCCAATTCGTATTCATTGTGTTTAACACCTTTCGAGACAATGAATTTGTGCTCAGATTTGGACAAAATTGCAATCAATCTCTTCATAAGGACTACATCTGCCGAACCCATTGAACCCAACGATAGATAAATCAATTTTCCGGATCTATTCTTGAGTTTGTCCGGCAATTCAAACGTGTCTTCATTTCCGCTTCGTTTCATACAATCAAAGCGATGAAAAGTCTTCGGCAAAGGCCTGACATCCGTGTAATCGAGTTCTTTGGGAAACATATAGATGTTTGCAAAGGGCGACGGCGACCAAAACTGTAGCTCTTCTGGTATTAATGGACAGCCATTACTGATGAGCCAATCCTTGTATTTAATCCAATCATCTTTTCTCGCGTCTTTTAACTGTTGTCTGTATACTTCCCATAAGTTTTTGTCACTATTTATAGACAAACCTATTAAATGAAAGCGAATTCAGTTATTCTATAGATACTTTACTGTATATCAAATCATATAAAAGTTTCTTTCAATTAATGAATTAAAAAATAATATCAATATTTCAAACCTAATATCGATGGCGGAAGTCTCTTATCTTCGTAACCAAAGTCCATTGACAACGGATTACTGCTATAACTGAATATCCAGGGAATACCCGAACCGGCAATCGATGGCAGAGTCAGCACGTGGTCTGAAATAATGACATCGGGTTTGACAGCGTTTATAATCCTCTTGAGTGACGGCTCGTCCTTTTCGATAAGAGGCAGGAATTCTTTGAGCAGAATTGTCATGCTTTTCAACGCTTTCTCTAAAGGCGTTGAGTTATCCAATAAGTCATTAGCACTTTCCGCGTTAGCGTCGGCCGAATCGCCGGTCACTCCATCGGTCTCTTCGGTCATTAACTCGACCCCAAAGTTAAGACTTTTCAATCTCTGCGACCAATCTTTAGTGGTCGCAAAGACCACCCGATGGCCGTTATCTCTGAGCACTTCGCCCAACCCTATGCTTACATTGATAGGGCCGACATAGTTGATGGGCGCAAACAACACGGTTAACTTACGGACCATTTTTATAATAACTTATTATTAGTAGTTTTTAAAATGTTACCAACAAGGGCAATTGAAATGATTTAGATTTTACTTTAACTTGACGCTTACTTTTATACTGCTAGTGAAATGTTTAAATCAAGGGTAACATTTAATGCCAGTTATATAATGCACTCAAATGTTATGTACTTTAACTTTAATTAAATTAGATAAAATTATAACTGATAAACATTTAGTTAAAATTATTTTGTACAGTAATATTTGGCATTAATAAATTTTAAACAACGTGTGATTTTGTTAAATATTACAAAATACATTGTATACATTGAGTCCTACAATATATAGCAGATTATGTTTAGTAGCTAATTTAATTTAATTTAAATATGGTTTATTGATGACATTTATTCATGCTGTTGACAAACAGCCCTCCGATCTACTAAACTGGTGCTGTCCAAATTGCAACCCAGGTCGTTAGAGTGCAAGTGTTAGGGTGGCAAACATTAAAACTAAGTCTCATCTTTTATCATAAAACTTGAAAACATAGATTTCATTACAAGTAATATTTGATTCAATATTTTAATATACTTTGTATAAAAATATTTTTTATCAGTTAGTAATCAGTGATTATTTATCATTTATTAAATTATTTTGGTCTCCATTTTTATGTTAATTATTTCACTTGAAGACAAACACGTTTTGTTTGTAAATTGATTTAATTGTTGTATTAAATGTTTGTTTTGAAGTTTTGTGTGAAAAACGTCTTAAATTTATAGTAAAGACTCTTTCGATAAATTTAGTGATGATTTGTGCGAAATATTTTTACCTTAAAGTTATTCACATTAATTGGTATACAATCAGTGGCTAAGAGTGCTATATATGAGAAATAACATGTTTATGAATTTACCACTAATATAAAATATAAATAATCATAATAAAGTAATAACAATTAAAATATATTCATTCAATATAAATTATAATATATAAAAATATATTTGGGTAGTAGTAGTGGTAAAAAATTAATTCTTATTTTAAAAAATTCAAAATGAAATACTATTGTAAAATCTATTGTCAACATTTTGGTGTCCATTAATTCGGTTAATACTGTATTTTGATACAGTCAACCCCATTAACTGGCCCATTGGTTAGGCATTAAGGGTTAATTTTCAATTTAGAATTTGTAATTATAAATTTTAATGATTCAGTAATTTAACATAAACAAATATATGTTGTATCTAAACCAGCCTTAAATTTGCTTTCCCCCACTTGTTTCTCTCTTTTTGGACAGCAGTATACTAAACATATACTGCTGTATATTGCAAAACACAATGTACTATACATACAGAATATACAATTATGTACTGTATATGCAATTAAGTAATCTATAGAATTATCTGAATTAGTGTCGGTAAATTGGACAATTTTCATTCACGCTAACTCATATTAACCGTCGCTTTAGTCACCACTTGTTGTCTCGCTCTCTCTGCCTTCAGTTCCTGTTTCTCGCGCTCCAGACGTCTGTCCCTCTCCTCATCGGCTCTGCGTTTAACAACCATTTCCTCGTTTTGGTTACTAGAATTTACACTAGTGTTTGAAAATTTTGTCATTTTAAGTTTTGTTTTAGTTTTGTTTTGTTTTGCAAAACAAAGTTTTGGTTTAGTTTTGTTTTGTTTTGCAAAACAAAGTTTTGTTTTAGTTTTGTTTTGTTTTGCAAAACAAAGTTTTGTTTTGTTTTGCAAAACAAAGTTTTGTTTTAGTTTTGTTTTGTTTTGCAAACCAAAGTTTTGGTTTAGTTTTTGTTTTGTTTTGCAAACCAAAGTTTTGGTTTTGTTTTGTTTTGGTTTCGTAATTAAGTGTATCTAAGTATACAGTATAACCCGATTATAATGTACTCAGATATATAAAATTACATTAAATTAAATTATTATAAATTATAGAAATAATTTTACTAACACTATACAAAGTTAATATATCTTTTTAAAAATATATGAATATATCAATAGTTGTATTGTTTAATTTATAAAACCTTATTTTTGAAAAAATTCATTTTGATCTTGTAATTAAGTTTTGGTAAGCTTTGGTAGTTTTGGTAGTTTTGGTTTGGGTTTCGTTTTGTTTTGGTTTGCAAAACTAGTTTTAGTTTTGGTTTTGCAAAATTTTGCAAAACTAATTTTGTTTTGCAAAACCAAAACTCACATTTCAACCACTAATTTACACCGTATGCAATTACGACTTTACAAGCTCTGTATAAGTAATACTAATCGTATGAGATCTATACTATAGATTCTATAGAATACTAACTGTAACTTCTAGTTATCAATATTAAATATTTATAGTATCTATTGATAACTATTGTTGCATGGTATTAGTGATCAAAATTATAGTGCCGATGCCGCGGCACCGGCACTCAGTGCCGGTGGTGCCGGGGCCGAGGGACGGCACGGCACCGGCACCAGTTTTAACTATACCGGCACTGAACCGGCAACGTCACTGGTAAAATATATGCTTTTGGTAAACATAAAAAATTATTTTTTGGTATATTTAATAGTACACAAAGATTGCGTTTCATATATTTAAATGTGAGAAATCACATTACTGCACATGCTCTGTTAGCATCGGCAATACAGGCACTGGAACAGCACCGGCACTAATGGCACTACCGGCACTGAAACGGGTGCCGGCACTTAAAAATCGTAATTTTTCGTTCACTACATGGTAGGAATTCCCTAATGTTCTTTATAACTTGACGTGTTGTATGCACTACCTTGATAATTTGCAAAGTATTATTCACTATAATCGTTACATTTCTTATAGTCATTATATGCCCTGTTTTTATAATATAAAATATAATATTATTATTATTATATCAAAAATTATATTATGAGTAAATATTAGTTTTTATTTAAAAAACATGTTTAAACCCCACTAATCTGATTCAGGTACACTATATATGAGAAACATTAGAATAGAGTATCGCTAGCAAACTGTTTAAACACTAGTCTCTTAATACTGATTGAAAAATCGTTACCAAATGTCATATTTATACATGTTATTACATACAATTATTATTTTTTTGATGTTCTTGAATGGGATGATTCGTATTTGTATCGGTTGTTTATACATGAGTCGAGGTTCGGCACTATGTCATTTGCTGAGCACAATCTTAAACGTGATTTTAAAGTTTTGTTGGTCATGGAACTTGTTTTCTTATTCTTGAGAGATTTCATAAGTGAAAAAAATTGTTCACAATTATAAGTTGAGCCGAAATATGATAACACAGTTAATGCCATCTCTCTTAGTTGTGGATAGCATTTAGGATCAAGTTGTGAATAAAACTCACAAATTGTAGAATTGTTAAATAAATTGTTTAGCACAACATCAGTTTTTAAGTTGTCCACTTCGGTCTGAAATATTGGCGTAATTTTTTTAGCAGTGAAAGGATTTGTAAATAATTTAAAAATATCTTCATTTGAAACAAAATCTTGAAAACGTGTTTCAAATTCAATTATAATATTATCTAACAAATCTTTTAGATCATCAGTGCTAAAATAAATGCAGTTGTTTTTGACGACTTTTTGAATGCACACAAATTCGGGAAATTCATTAAAAGAGTTGGCATTAAATACTTGAGAGTCAGGCATTGTTAATCGAAGTGTAGTTATGAATTGTCTTATTTCAGTAATCACTTTATATTGAATTGTTATTAATTTGCTTTTGCCCATCAATTCTAACTTAATTTTATTGAGAATTGTTGTTATGTCTGCCAGGAATGCTAATTCAAAATAAAATTGTTTATTATTTGAAATTAAAGCACCAGATTTGTCACGGATTGGTTTTTTAATCACATCGGTAAAAAACACATTAATTTTGTCAAACAATTCAAAAAACCGAAATAAACAATTGCCCCTGCTCAGCCACCGGATATTACTATAATATAATACGTCTGTGTATTCACTTTTATTGTCTCTTAAGAATTCGCGAAATACTCTGTGAGTTAAACTATATCGACGAATTTTATTCACTGTTTTGATCACTGTCCCCATTATATTGTCGATATGAGCATTTTTGGCACATAACTCCACTTGATGTATACCACAATGAAAACGCATGATCACATTATTTGTTTGCTCTGAAATATAGTTTGCAAGCAATGTCACTGCTCCTTTATTACAACCAACCATCCCATTTGCGCCGTCAGTCGTAATTGATGTCAAGTTATTAATATTCAAATTATTATTTTCAATTGACTGTTTTACGAGCTCAAAAATGTCTTTTCCTGTAGTCGTGTTGTCTAATGATACTAAATCCAACATTTCTTCTATTGGATTAAAGTCTGGTTCAATACCTTTAATATATATCACTAACTGAGCTTTATCTGTGCAATCAGTGGACTCATCAAATGCTAATGAATATTTTTCAAAGTTTTTTGATTGTAATTGCAGATCCATTTCATTTGAAATTTCAACAATATTTTCAGTAATGGTTTGTCTCGACAATGGCAATGTATTCACAATTTCTGCCAAATCAGTAGGCAGTAACTTTGCTACAGATGCTAAGCACTTCTTAATGAGTGTTTCACCGACACTTAGATCACATTGTGATTCACCAATATATTGTGAAATTTCATAGACAACTCGATGTTTGTCTGAGTCAGTAATTGGCGGACGTTTTGCTTGGGGTTGTGGTTGTTGTGGTTCTTGTGGTTCTTGCGGTGGTTGGGGGCGAATCAACTGACCATTATTAAATGTGAATAAAATAGGGTCCACATTTGTCTTCTTATCGAGAAAATCTCTTTTAGCGTTTAGCCTTAAGTTCATTTCAATTGGACTCATGTGATTGTGACTATCGTAATGCGGTTGAAAAGCTCTTCTTTGGGGATTTTTATTATGGAAAGTAATGTCACATAATGCGCAATATATTCCATCACTACGTTCTATTAAACACATTTCGCCCAACCAATCAGATTTTCTCTTTGGAGGCATTTTGTCTATTTATGGATTATATAACATATATTTAGTTATATA